AAGGAAGAGCATAGTGCACAAGATTTATGTTGAACTTTTTGTTTGCCTTTTAACTTGTGCAGTCCATCTAGAGATCGTTTCAAATTTGTCTACAGAATCATTTATGACAGCTTTAAAACGATTCATTTCTAGAAGAGGGAAATGTGCATCCATATTTAGCGAAACTGCTCGAAAGTTTGTTGGAGCTAGCAATGAACTGAAGCTACTTACAATTTGGTAAAATAGCCTGATGAATTCTTAACCAAATATCTGACATCTGAAAGGATTCACTGGAAGTTTATCCCTCCTAGAGCTCCTTACTTTGGAGGTAACTGGGAGGCAGGTGTTTAAATTTTACCTTAAACGTGCACTTGGGAGGTTTATTTTTACATTTGAGGAGTTTCTTACAATTTTGAACCAGACTGAAGGAATTTTAAATTCATGATGTCCGATATCCTTTCTGTCGAAAGACACCAATGATTTAAGAGCACTTACATCCACACACTTTTTAGTCGGGCGATCTTTAACATCTACAACGGAGCCTGATCTTACTGATTTTTCTGATAATCCTTTATCAGAAAACTGGTATTGGACTACTTAAGTGGCCAATATTTGTCGAAAAGCTGGCAGTCATTTACAGCAATATTTTAAATGGTATTTTTCTAAGGGTAATGTTAAAAATGGCACTATAATTTTAGTAAAGGAAGACAACATGCCCATCTCAACTTGGTTACTAGGGGGAAAAAAAAAAAAAAAAAAAAATCGAAGAACTAATTTATGATAAGGATAAAATGGTTAGAGTTTTATTGTAAAAACCAAGTCTGGTCTTTTAAAAAGACCAATAACTGAATTAGCTTACTATCAGTACATGTTACATAAGTTTAATGCATATTCAGCGAGTTAATTTTTTTTAAAAAAATTTATGCATTGTATTTGAATTTATATTTTGTGCATTTCAAGTTCTGTGTTTAATTATGTTTATTGCTTTTCATGTGCATCAATTAAAATTTTTGTGATATATAATTTGGACTATATGGGGATTTAAAACTGTTTAATTTTGGTCATTGTTAGCTCATAACAAATGCCCAACACGGGTGGTATGTTAATGCAGAAGTGAAGTGATGCCAAGATCTAATGAGAGTACTGTTTAACTAGTGATCTGGCAACCACGAGTAAAAAAGAACAATGTGGAAAGCTAGCAGCCATTGATTGAGTGTGGGCTGGTAGCTCGGGTTGGTGAAATGTACATTAAGGTGTGGATGGCAAGAGTGTTCATCTGAGTAGTTCTCATATGTGTGTATAATTCTGTTAAGAGAAGTAACATTAAAGATAACACAGTCCACTGTGAATTTCCTGAATATTTGTGTGATATAGAGATCATATAAGATATAGAGACTGTTTACTTAGTGTGGTGGAGAAGAAAAATTGTTATTACTGAAATACCAAAGCCTGCTCATGTAAGTACTCTTAACTCCCCCTGGCATACAGTGATGATTATGTAAAACTAAGTGTTAATGCATAAATATTTATTAAGCACTTTAGTTCTGAGATTATGATAAAGTTTAATGTGAATGGTTTAATGTTAATTTAATTTGTAAATGTAGTACTGAGAGACTTATGTAAAAGATTAATATTTATGCAGCTAGAATTATGTGTTTCTCTGTCTATGGCACTAGAGTTAAAGAATTTTAAACCATACTATCAATTGGTGCCTGGGTTGTAAATGCAGCTGTATTTAACAGTCAAAATGTTCATTTGGAAGAAAGATTAAATTTTTTTAGTACTTCATTATTGCACCACCTTTACATAATTTTCTTATACAACACACTAGTTTTGGTATCAGCCCTGATCTTATATGTATAACAAATCAGTTATCTTATTTCAAACAGCATTAAAATGTAATCCTATGAGCATAATTTACAAAATCTATCATTTTTGCATATGGAAAGAAATTTCTGTTAAATATCTCCTTGTCAATACACTCAACACTTAGCAGCCCAGACGACTGAAGTCTTTATTGACGCTAAATGTAATGCCAAATGGTTACCATTACCATGCTGTTAGGTATTCAAATACTAGTATGTAAAAAAAAAAAAAAAAAAAAAAAAAAAGGAAATGTTTTAGACTTTACTGTGGAGCCATTTCTCAAGCTGCCATGAGTTGATAGTCACTCAGTGATGAAAGCAAAAATAATAATAATAATTTTAAAAAAAATGGTTCACCAGGTTTGTGCGAGGATATTTTCTTCAATAAATGTAAAATTAGCAATGAACTTTGTTAGAATGCTTCAGATTGAGATGTATACCAAGCGAAAAGGCAGTTATAAAGCAAATTATTGATCATACATACTTATGCTTATAAATGACTGTGCTTGTTCAACATGGAGGTATTTATTTACTGCAAAAGTGATATTAAGAATCTGGACCATTATGCTTTATTATGGAAAAATGCCTAATATACATGCATAAAGTATTGAGCACACAAAAAATTCTTTTAAAAAAAAGTTGCTAGTGGTCCAGATTTTAGACTTTGTGCTGTATGTATATAAAACTTTCAATGTATAAATTTAAATTCATGCATTTAAAAATAAATGATTGCATTGTATGTATGATACTTAAACACATTTTAACTACAGACTAATGATGCTGTTTAGTACACAGAAGTCACAGATAATCTAAAAATGATCTTATGTGCTATAAAAAATGAATTCTTTATAGGTTTTATAAAAACAGTTATTCAACACAACGTTTAACACAAATAATAAAAAATATACAAATTTTTTCACTTTACACTAGTGAGGGGAGGGGAAACTTATTTACAATCTGTGAGCCGTATTGATATATCTTTCAGAGACAATTTGATGAATGATATGCGAAGCTGTGAAGTCATTAAACACAAACTCTACTGATGTATGCTATCAATTTGTCAGCACACTTCAGAATCCCATAACCATCTCATCTTGTTGCTTTAAGAACCATTTTCCTTCCCAATCTCTTTTTCCCTTTATTTATGTCCAATACAATCCTATGTTTCTTTACTGGCAGAACAATCTTGATTTATGACATTAAGGATGAGTTTTTCCCCAGATTAAATTTATCAGCTTCATTCAAAGCTCAAAATTCAACTGGTATCAGAATTCTAAAAAAGAACGGGGACTTTTGAAAAAGCAGTTCTTACTTACAATGTACCATAGCACCTCATTAATTTCTGCGTTTCTAATGGAGACATTATTTTAAAATTCTTTCCATGTAATGTGACATCATAGATTCAAATTACAGGTTTTAAGGGGAATGAAGTATACAGTACAAAGTCTGAAAACCAGACATCCATTATCCGGAATGATCTAAAATCCGGACTGCAAAACCACCAACATAGTTTTTCTCGTAGGCTTTACACATGAGCATTTAATTCCCCCCCTCCACACATAATAAAACATCTGGAGAGTCCCGATTCTTAATTTCTCTTCGATACTAAATAAAATACCTTGTTATTGAAGAGCCAATCATTTTAGCATAAATTCGTACCATCAGTAATTTGGCTCCGTTGCTGCATATGTGCTTGGCACACATCCCAAACCAAAAAATTCCACATAGATACCTCGTTCATCTGACGCTAACCTGCGAATCATTATTGATTATACTTACCTTTCATCACCGCATGTTTATCAGAACATGACAACTTGAGTAATGACTCATGTAACGATGCCTAAATAATTTTTTTATGTTAGTAATTGAATAATAAAGGAGTATGGTAAACTTTTATGCTGATGATGAGCTTTTTATCGTTTGGCGATGATTACAGATTTAAGTTAAATGTACTAAAAAATGTTGACGAGGAAAAATTTACCAAACATTTCTTTACATATCCTAAAAATAGATTTTGTTGATGACACTCATAGACTCAAAGATTATAGTTAGGGCTATTTGAATTAAGAATAACTGATTTGTTATTCACATAAACCCAGAACCAGCGCCAAGGCTCATATGGACAACAACGAGTCGCAGAGTTTAGGACCCATAAAGACTGCATCAGGCGATAAGATATCCACCCTCAATAAGGTTTAAGTATATGTGAGAATTTATTTATTCAGAAATCTGATAAGCCTTAAGCATGTTCAAGAAATAGACATAAGTATAATAAATAACTAAACTAATACAATTCAGGCTTAATTGTCTCAGTGCATGATAGAAGCAAGATAAAATTTAATGGAACAACTTGCCATTAATCACCAAGCTCATGATGCATAGCTAAATATGTATAGTGAAGGATAGCTAAATTTGACGATGATAGCCGCTAATTTTAAAGGTTTTTGAATATCGCAAAACAAAGGTGAAATTTTTCAATTAACGGATTTTGTAAAGAAATGTGGAGAAGCAGTAATTAATGAAGATGATATTAAAGACGTTTCTCATTGTGATGACAATGCTTCTCAATCATCATCAATTAATAAATGTTGAAATCTGTAGTATGGTTCTAGATCCAGAAAATAACGCTACCGATAGTGAAAAAGTGACAGAGTAGTTACTGAAAACGAGAAAATTTCGATTGACAAGTTAGTCGGAATTCTCCAAACAGCAGTTACAGGACTTCAACAATGTAACTAAACAAGAGATTATGTCTGTCTACAGAATTAAAGAGAAAGTATTAGCACAAAAAAATGAAGCAACTTAAACAACTTACATTGAAAGATATGTTTAATAAGGTAAATGAATAAGTATTAAGCTTTTTTTTTTTTTTTTTTTTTTTTTGTAAATTTTGATACCCTTTAGATCATAAGTACTTCATTATTTATAATTCTCGATTTTATAATTTTAATTTTATAATTTCTACATGCCATCTTACTAGATTTAAATTGATGATTTAATATCCGAAAAATTCCCAAATCTGGAATTGCCCGATGAGCCCAGATTCTGGACTTTGTACTGTATTTGCGTGGAAACATCTTGACTAGTGCTTGGAAAAGTGAAAAACAAAGTTTATTTTACTCCACTTCGTAAAATCTCAAATTAGATAAGACTTACCATCATAAGGTTGACAAGTGATACAGCATTCAGTGATATATCCCAGAAAAACATAAGACCCATCAAATTTTGAAGAATCATAAAGATGGTGAAGACTATTATCATAGCTGAATGGAAGTCTAATCCCATAAGGAGGAAGCTGACGATAAATATATCAACAAGGGAAATTATTATGTTTCTAACAGCATCATGTATGATGGTGATATATTGCTCATAAAAAACATAGAACACACTGCAAAGGAAAAAAAAAATTAAGATAACTCATAATAAACAACAACAAGAGCAGTAAACACACACATACAAAGCATGTCTTTTAACAGAAGGATTCTTATTTTGGAAAAATGAAAAGCTATACATTTAAAAAAATAACATAGATAAGTCTGACATAATGGTAAAAACTTTTTAATAAAATGTCATGCATTCATTATATGTCGAACCAAATTAGAAATTTTAAAGATAATATAAAATCTTTATCTAAAGGAAATATACAATCAATCTAATAGCTAAAATCTTTGTCAAATAAAGTACAGAATACTCCATTTGAGAAAACCATAACAAACATACTAAATGCACCTCAGTTTCCTATCTTCCAAATAATTAATTGAGATACTGATTTTAAAACAACTGCATTAAAAAAAAATCAAACTAAGAGGAAGATTAACTGTAGATGCTACACTCTTCTTTGTCGGCACTTATACGCTCTAATTTTTTTTCACATGTCTGCAATATCAAATGTTATATGGAGATAAAAGTGTCAGTGCAGGCACACTGTATCATGTTTAACATGCTGAAATGGAATATTCGAGATTTTAAAAGGCAGTAGATAGTGTCAGACAATTGTGAAATTTATCTAAAGAAGTGTCTGTGATGTTAATATTCATATATTCATATTATTATCCTTATATACAGTTCTAACAGTCAGGTATGAAAGAAATCACTAATATAAAGTAATATACATGCTGTGCATCAAGTCATCTAGATAACTATGATTGCCATTCGCTTGGAATCTCTGTTTCATCTTTTGGGTAGAAAAAGATAATTTTTAATTAAAAGATAATTAAGATTAAAAAGCATTTTGTTATCAGAGCAAAAGGTATGACTTATTTGACTGAAACTGAGGCTTGGGAAATACTGTTGGGGGGGGGAACTGAAAAAAATTAGAACAAATATAAAATAACTCCAATTTTTTTAGAACTCTGAAGAACCTAGTATAGAAGCAACAAATTTATAATGACAAACAAACACAAAAATTCTGAGAGCTTTCAGATTTTACATTATGCCCAAAGACGCGTTTTGTTAACATTTTGTGTGTTACCTTTATTTATTAAATATCATGTTCTCCCCCACTTAAATTATAAAATTCAGTTCAACAGCAGTATTGCAAAATACAGTACAAAGTCCGTAATCCGGACTCGTCGGGACTTCGGCGATTCCGGATTAGGGGTTTTTCCGAATTATAGATCATCAATTTAAATCTGGTAAGATGGCATGCAGAAATTATACAATTAAAAATATGAAACCGTAATTTATGAAATAAAGAGCAATTATGATCTAAAGGGTATCAAAATTTACACAAAAAAAGCTTAATATTTATTTGTTTACTTTATTAAACATTTCTTTCAATGTAAGTTGTTTAAGTTGCTTTGTTTTTTGTGCTAATACTTTCTTTTTAATTCTATAAACAGACATAATTTCTTGTTCAGTTACAAAGTTGAAAACTTTCAAGTCCTGTAATTGTTGAGTCGCGAATACCGACTAACTTGTCAATCGAAATTTTTTCATTTTCAATAACCTCTCTGTCACTTTCTTCACTATCCAAAGTGGTATTTTCTGGATCTAAATTCATACTTCAGATTTTGCCATTCATTAATTGATTGATGATTGGGGCATTCTCGTCGCAACGAAAAACTTCTGTTATATCATCTTCATTTATTACCGCTTCTCCACATTTCTTTACAAAATCCAATAACTGGGAAAATTTCACCTTTAGTTTGCGATGTCCGAAAACCATCAAATTCGCGGCTATCATCTTCATCGCCCTAACCGTGAAATATGGTTGCTGGCCATAAATTATGCCAAGCATTTTTTTACCTATCTGGAGCTTAATTTTTATAAAATTGCTCTAACAGTCAGCAAAAAATAATAAGCCAGATCCAATTAGAAAATTAAGGAACAGCGCAATCTGCAACATTAACTGAAATGCCTTAGAATCAGTAAAGATAATATTAGCCTAGCTTATACCGTCCATTATACATTAAATGCGCATGCATAAAGCATTTAAAAAAAAAAAAAAAAAAAAAAAAAAAAACCTTAAAGCTCAAAGTTTGTGGCTTTGAGGTCCGGATTATAGATCATTCCGGATAATGGACATCTGGATTTACAGACTTTGTACTGTAATTTTAATATGAGCATATCTTTAGAACTTCCGATACAGTCGCACGCACTGGAGGGAAAAAATGTTTTTTTTCGTACAGTGTTGCCATTGCTTGCTTGAGTTTTTTAATCAAAAGTTCATTAAGTTTCTACAAAATATGAAATAGATAATAAAACAAATTCCAAATTTAGTCTTTAAGATGCCCATATTAAGGTGAAAATGTACATTATTCAAAATTTGATGGCTTCAGGTACCACTGTTTTATCACAATGCAAGAAATATACACAATATGATAATTAAATCATCAATGCAAAATGCCAAAACAAAATTAATAGTCCTTCTGGGCAAATTTGCCCCTTTGGACTTTAAAAAAAAAAAAAAAAAAAGAAGAAGAAGAGAGGAACTGACAAAGAAAATTCAATATATATTACAGCCCCATACACTTTTATGAAAAACTGTGACATGACATTGAAAGCTACTTTTTGAGCACATAACTGATGTGTAATGCCACATAACTATCCTTAGTGTATTAGTTAAAAGTGTTATTCACATAAAATAATAAAAAATTCTTTTGAATTTTCATGAAACTTTATTCATTAGGTAATGAAACATGGTTTGAGAAACAGAATCCAAAAAATAACATATGAATATTTCAAGAATGAGTCAATGCCATCAATATGCAAGTTTCAATTTTTAGCATCATATGCATTTCAGTATCATTTTTAGCATATGTTAATGTTAAAATTTCTCACATTTTAAATTTATTACAAAATTAAGAAAACATGCCAAGCAAAATCAAGCTCTGCCTTTTTTCTTTAAAACATATATTACTTCGTATACTTAATACAGAAAATAAAATAAAATATGATATTACTACATTTCTGAAACATTAGTACGAGAATATAAGAAGAAGAAATACCTACCTGTAAGGAAAAACTTCAGCTTCATGATCTGAGACATTAAACAAATGAAGTGTCTGCGTAATATTCTTTCCAATTTTGCGAGCCCATCTTAGAGCATTTGTAAAATCATCAGATGTTTTTAATATTGTATGATAAGTCATATAATGAGTAGCTGAAATGTAAAATTTATTTAAAAGTACTCTTTCATCTACAAAAATAGGAATGAAATTTTTATAAAAATACTGTTAAACTTACCTCCAACACTACCATTTTTAATTTCTAATGCATTTGCAAATCCTGCATGACCACTACAAAATGGAAAATAAAAATAAAAAAATAAATTATTCATATTTAATAGATATTATTATAAATTCAGTTCATTATCCACCCAAAATAATTCTTACACAGTTTAAGAACTTTCCTTATATCAAGCATTTTATACATTTTTGACAATCTTTACGCAGTTTAACAAGACTGCACGCACTGGGCCCAAAAGACCAAGCTCGTGTTTTTTGGAGAAAAAAATTGTAAATCTCCAAAAAAAAAAGGGTTGCATCTATGCCAATAATAAATTTTATCACACTTAAAAAGCATACACATTAAATTTTTTTATTTCTCCCAATATTTTAATGAACTAAAATTTCTCTAAGAAACAGAAAACCATATTATATATTAGCAGAGGAAAAAAAAAAAAAAAACAGTATACATTTGCTCTGTATTAATTCTTTATTTTCTTTATTAGCACTGCAGACACAGAGAAAGAATGCAACAACAAATGTTTGCAGCATACTGAACAAAGTGTTGTCCTGTGTTCCAAATATAAATATTTTTCACATTTAGAGCAGCACATTTTCATTCTGTGCTTTTTCACTCAGCAAACACTGCATCTTTTTTTTCCTTTTGTTTCCAATAATTTTTTTCCAATAAAGCAATTTACGCCCTTTTCATTCCAGTCTTCAGAATCTATATCAGTTATTGAATCAGTATCATTTGAACTAAAAATTCATGATCACTTCTATCCTCATTTTCTTCTGTAGATTCTTTGACATTTGATACATCAAATAACTTTTGAAACATTTCTTCCTTGTATGATAAATTACATGATGTGCTTGCCGCTTTCTATAGCACCACAAATCAACTATGTAACAGTAATATGAACAGGTGTGCCCGATCTGATCAAAAACAAGACTCTGAATCCAAGCCCCAGTGAAAAAACTTCAGAAACATAAAGAGGGTGACCTCGGACATGACCACACTGGACCTCAGCAACTTGGGTGAAATAGGCATGCTTTGAGAAAGGTTTGTTTAATTGGGCAGATTCGCGGACCTAGCATGCTCGCTCGTGTGTTAATTAAACAACAAAATATCAATGCAGAATATTTCACAATTATAACTTTTCCTTTAAACTAACTATTTGATTTTTTAAAATGTTTTATAGACTTCTGCAAAATTTCAGTATGCTTTATAATATAAAAATATGACAATATAATTAAGTGTAAATGTAAAGGTAAAATTACATATTATGTCATGCTACTTCATTTTTTTTTTTTTTTTCTTTTCTTTTCCATGTCCAGTAACTCCATAAGATTACTTCAGGTAACACTACTAAAAGGCTGTTTCTCATATTTGATTCCTAATGGCTGAATGGACAGTAACATTAAATTTTTATGGCTTTGGCTATGTAAAAATTAACAAGTCTCCTTTCAAATAATGTACTTTTAAATGAACCATTAACCTTTCAAAATTCCTCCATGAAAGTCTCTATCCTATAAAAGGGAACCTCATGTGTTTCCCAGGGAACAATTACTTACCTATAATTTTCCTTACAAATTCAATCTTTACAAATGTATTACATTTTATTTCACAGAAGTTGCTTTATATTAGGAATATTTCATCAAGGCTGAAATATTACAATCTTTGACATTCAACAGTACACATGCTTTCTAGAAAATCATACTCAAATTTTTTGGATACCTGAAGAACAAAATATTTTAATTCATTCAGAATTTTTTTGCTGAAATACTCATAACATAGCAGGTGAAGCATATTTACTTTACAGTCATCACTATCAAAACTCCTTTTTGAAATCTCAAATTAAAGTTTTAACTGAGTTTTAGTTTACTGAAATCCTTTGTTAAATAGGGTCAATTTAAAAATTTCAGTTTTCCAAATAATAATAATAATTTGATTAAATCTAACTTCTTTTAAAGAACAATATTACTGATTTGATGAATATAGTATGCAAGCTATAAATAACATGAATAACTAAAGGAAGCAAAAAATGCATGCAAAATGCATTAATTTTATAATTATTATTCTTCAAGCCAACCTTTCATATTACCAATTACATAAAATGTTACAATATTTATTCATATAAAATATGTTAATTATTAGCATATAACTCTCTATAATTTGCACTTTCATTAATGCAATAGCTTCGCAAGGTACATTTCTCACAAGTGAGGCCAAATTACCTTTCATATCTGAAATGCCTGGATGTTCACTGTTCGAAAAGATCATTTTAATACATGTTACTCATTAGATAATGCAGAGAAATTTTAAGAATGTCTAAAAGAAGATATTGCCTTTTCCAAGAAAAATAACAGTACATTTTGGCAAGTAAACTGATGAATTCTTTTTTGATTTTTCCTTTATTTTTTAATTGCAGAGTTAAAGATATGTTTCCCAAACTATTTCAAATTTTTGCATTTTTATAAGTTTTGATGACAAGAATAAATTTTCGATAAATCATCTACTACAGAAAGTAAATAATTTTATTGACAATGATAAAAAAGTAAGTAAAGAGTACTGCCAATGATAAATGAACTATCCAAAACTCTGCTTCAAAAGATAATCCTGCAGTTGAAACTATTAAAATATTTTGCAAATCTGCAGAATGATGTGGTGAAAAGATCAGTCTCGCAAAGAAAAATGTTTGCATATATTAATCAAAAACCATCATTCAATCAACTGGAAAACTTTCATTTTTTATAGAGCAATAATTGAAAATCAGTGATTTTTTCATGTGCGTGTAATTTTGCTATAAATGCTTCTTCAGTATTCATTCGCAATATTTTATTTTATTGATTTTACACTGATTGCTATCCATGTCTCTGTTGAACAGCCTGAGTTAATGACTGATAATAATTATATATATATATATATATATATATATATATATATATATAAAATCAACGCCCCAAGAAGGAATCCTCTGACTGCTTTGAAATTTCATATGCATAAATGTTTTGACCAAATATGCAAATGATTAAAATCTGGTGCCCAGTGAATGAATAATGCGATCTCCAGTGCATCCAGCAGATGTACATAAGGAGCTGTATTTGAACTGCTGTTAAAAATTTCTGTTGCATTGCAATTTAGAATACATTTCAAAGCTTGAAAAAATGCCTTACCGCTGGATTAGAAGATGCTATCAAGAATGGGTATCTAAAGAACAATGGCAGATTTTAGGGTCATGATGGGAGCGGTCGACCTAGGGCCACAATAGATTGGGAGGATAGAGTGATTGTCAAATCAGCTGTCACAATGCCTGATTCATCGCTAGCAACCATCAGACATACAACCCGCACACGAGTATCCACCATGACCATTCACAGGCGGCTGATAGAGCAAAATCTATGCTCGTACCAACAATTATGTCACTTGCCACTCACGCCTGCACACTGTCGAGCCAGGTTACAGTGGTGCTTGGTTCGATCAAGTTGGAATGATGCTGACTGGGGATGCACAGTCACAGTCAGCGTCATTCCAGCACATAACGACACAGTTGGAAGCAGCAAATCCCGCTTGCAACAGTGTCGTGATGATCATCGAAGACGTGTCTGGAGATGCCCAAAATAGCATACCAATCCTGCTTTCCCTATTGCACGCCACACAGGCCCTCAACCAGGAGTTATAGTCTGGGGTGCCAATTCTCTTGATAGCCGGATTCCTTTGGTCCTCATTAGAGGCACACTTACAGCACAGCGGTACCTCAACAACATTCTGGGACTTGCTTTGCTACTGTTCCTTTTGTAGTACCCTGGCCTTATTTTTCAACAAGATAATACCAGACCACATACGACATTTACATACATACAGTTTAGAAAATTTGCGAGAGATATTATGTAAACTGTGAATGAGAATAAGAAGAATATTGGTATTGAGATATAACAAAGCAGAAAATCATACTGAAAACAGAATTAATTGAAGTAACTTATAAATTTAAAATGAATTTTGATAATATAAAGAAGATTTGACTAATAATAACTAAATGAAAGTAAAACTTATAAAGATTTTAAACTTAGGAGAAAACACAGAAATGGAAACGACACATTTATATAATATTTCACCAAGAGTGTTTGGAATGTATGTATCTGCTTTACCTTTTTTTTTTGGTGTGTGTTATTCTTTGTGGCTTGGCCTGTGCCCTTATAGCAGGTTTCGCCTGCTAGGTAGGCTGGGGGCCAGTGCTTAGAACTAAATAACTAACTAACCACATACGGTACGTGTTGCTATGAACTGTCTTACAGCATGTGAAACACTTCTTTGGCTAGCCAGATCACCAGATATCTCTCCCATCGAGCATGTCTGGGATATGATAAGGCAACTGCATCTACCAGGGAATGTTGATGACCTAGCCCAACAATTGGAGCAAATTTGGCAAGAAATACTGCAGGGGACCATCTGGGAACATTATCAGTCTATGCCACACCATGTGGCAGCTTGTATCCAGGCTAGAGGTGGGTCAACACCTTATTGAGCTCATTATTTTGTAAATATGAAATAAATCATTCAGTTATTCTGAAATGTTAATCATTTTCTATTCTGTACATAATCTTCCTATCAGAAGTTAATAATCTCAATGATTTAACGCCCGAGATCGTAGTAGAGTCACAGATGCTCACTGATGTTTTTTCGGTCTCAAAAAATACTTGTAATCTAACTTCACTAGCCGGAAAACAAAGATTTTAATTTACAGAAGCTTAATCAGACCCATTCTTACATACTCTGCTGAGACCTGGGCAATGACAGAAAAAGATAAAAGTATCATTTCTGTCTTTGAGAGAAAAATTTTGAGAAGTATTTTGGTGGCATAAAATCTAACAATATCTGGAAAAGAACTAACTCTTAATATTATAAATACTTTAAAGAAATAGATATAGTAAAATATATAGGATTCAGAGAATTAAATGGGCAGGACACCTGTGCAGAATGGATGAAAATTGAGTAACTAAAAGGATCTTCTCGGCCAGAATATTTGGCACCCAAAAAAAGAGGAAGACCTAAACTTAGGTGGCTTGACTGTTTGGAAACAGACTTAAGAATTTTAAAAATAACCAAGTAGATGTCCATGGCCAGGGATAGAAGAGCTTGGAATTAGATTCTGAGGAAGGCAAGGGCCCATCCTGGGCTGTCTGGCCATTGAAGAAGAAGAAGACAATCTTCCTATACACCACTTTTGTCTCCATCGGACAACTCCTTCTTGGTGTGTTGATTTTTTTGTTATAGAGTGTATATATGTTCTCCTTATTGTACAGACAAAATCTGATGATTGTCATTGTCTCCAATAACAAATTTTCATTGTAGAATGAAATAACTATTACCAATAAAATGCTACAAAAGACTTGTCCATCATACAGCTCTCAAGGCCCAGTTTAGGCAGCAAATGTTTTTAATGTTGAATGCATATTATAATTTGAAATTTAAAAAAACTTTTAGAAATAAGGAAAGAAAGTGGAATGTAGAATTCCACTTTTGCCAAATTATAGTACATAAATTATTGTCGAAAATTTTAATTTTCATCAGAATGTAACATCTAATTTCATGATTTTTTTATAGAAGTTTTTATTACCTTTAAGAACACTTTAATATGTTTCAGTGTTCTTTACATACAAGGTGTGGCTATTAATTTTCAGGACTGCTCTAATAACACTAGAACAGATGATGAGAAAAACTTAACCTCTTAATATGTTTCGAAGTAATCCCATCGGCCGTAACACACTTTTGTGCTCAGCTGCATAAGTTGTGGAAACAACTTGTAAAGTCCTCTTTCGGAAGGCTCTTCAATGTCGACGTCATGTTCTTCTTGATGTCTTCAACAACCATAAAGCATGTTCCTTTGATCACAGTTTTGAGTTTGGGAAACAAAAAGAAGTCTGCGGGGACCAAGTCAAGAGTATTCTCTTGATAGACCGAACATTCCCAAACTCAAAACTGCAATCAAAGGAACACGCTTTGTGCGAAAGAGGACTTTAAAAGTTGTTTCCACAACTTATACAGTCGAGCACAGAAGTGTATTATGGCAGATGGGGATTACTTCGAAACATATTAAAAGGTTACATTTTTGACATCATCTGTTCTGATGTTATTAGAGCATTCCTGGAAATTAATAGCCACACCTTGTAAAATAGCTGGAAAAGTTTATTATAATTTCCATATTAATATGGAAACACTAAATGGAGGGGAATTTTTTAAATCTAATATCTAGGAACAACATTCATATTATTACATCGGTCAAATAAGGAAATAAAGTTCATCAAAAGAGATGAAAAATAAGATTGAAAAACAGTAACTGATTGACTGTTCTCTAGAAAAAGTTTCTTCTCAGCATAATTAAACTTATAGTGCTAAATAAAGAATGGAAATTAAATAACTACTGTTGAAATTAAAAGTGGGAGTTTGAAAATTAATTTAAAATCATTTCACTAAGGCATTTTAGTTATTTTCAGCTACTAAACCAAATATTAAAATTTGCTTATGATTAAAAAAATATTATTTTAGCGTGCTATAATCTTAGATGGCTTATAATCAAGACTGTAGCAGTTACAGCTCATAAGAGAAAGCAGTTAACTCTAATTAAATACCATCTTTTTAATATAATCTTTTTATTATCTCAACATTCTAAAAAAGTATATTAAAACATGGTATTACAAAGATTTCTTTTACAATAAAATAAAAGCCTATACACATGAATGAAAATTAAATGTGCTACTATTTGCATACTGAAGATACTTACGCAACAGGACAATCTGCTGAAGGATTTTCATTCAAAAAGTCTAGTAGGAACTTGTTAAATGTTTTGGGATAAGGTCTGTAATTCGAATCATTTGTAGCTTTACATGGTACACAAAGAGGATCTAAAAATAAATCATTTTGAATACATACCTGAACTCAATCAAATTACTTTAGAATTATTACATATAAGCTAATGATAAGGAAAATTCAAATAAAATCTTCTATGGAGGTGGAAGACATACTATCAAATAACATTTACTATATTAGCATACAGTGTAGTATTCATATTTTTTAGAAATAAATTTTTATAAAAAAATTTACTTTATTATTAATAGAAAAGTAAATTTCTCGCACACTAAAACTAGAATAGATAGTTCACCAATAGAAATTCTTTTCCTTTTCAAAAGTTTTCATAGTTTAAAAATATATATATATATATCCTTCCAAAAATATCTTCGAGTAATATAAGACAAGACCAGTTTACAGAAATAAGGTTTCAGATATCAAAACATATGGTGGCAGGAGAGAAAAAAGTTATTTGAACATTAAGTAATTTTTTAGTCCTACGTAATGCTTTTATTTTATACTCAGCATCTGTAAACCTCCTCTAAGTTTTCAATTTGTTTGGCAACACTCAGAAAATTCCTAAATATTTTATTTACAATTAAACATATCAGAGGTATAACGGGTTAAAATATCTGTTCTTTCACCTGTTAAATCACTAAATTCTCTCAGTTAAATTTAAACTCCAGAGTGCAGAAAAAATATTTTATTTGAAATGAGACCCTGTGTCATACTTAAGTTTCTTGGAAGTACTTACAAGGAGGGCAACAAAATTGGCATTATTTGTTTTTATACTTGGTCTATTACAGTGCTGCAACATAATATTGTCTAAAAATTTGAACACTTTATTAATTTTCCTGAAACAAAGCATATATATGGAAAAGACATTTAAGAATATGAATACGGTAAAAAGTCTGAAATCGGGACTGGACAGGACTTCGGCGATCCATGATTTGGGATTTTTTCGGATAATAGATCATTCATTTAAATCTGGTAAGATGGCATGCAGAAATTATACAATTGAAAATATGAAATTGTAATTTATGAAATAAAGAACAATTATGATCTAAAGGGTATCAAAATTTACAAAAGAAAGCTTGATATTTAATTGTTTACTTTATTAAAAAATTTTTTCAATGAAAGTTGTTTAAGATGCTTAAAAAAAATTCACAAAGTACCTTTTCCTTTTTTCTTGTGTCATATACAAAGGACTTTCCAATGCCATACTCCTTGCATAATTTTGAGACGGATATGCCATTATCATTTTTTACAGCATTCCACTTTTTGTTTAATGGACATTGAAACATGGTTTCACTTTATAGATTCTTTGACAAATCCAGAATTGGAAACTCTTTTCGACATAATCGAAAGTTCAAGCTTAGTTTTTATAAAATTGCCGTAATAATAAAAATAATAAGCTGGATCAAATTAGAAGATCAGGGAACAGCACAGTCTGCTACATTAATTGAAATGCCTTAGAATCAGTAAAGATAATTTTAGCCTAGCTTAATACTGTCTGTTATACATTATTGGCTGCGTATCACAAGATTGGCGACGAAAGCAAAGTTGTTTCGCTAATTTTTGTATTGCTCCTATTGTGTACTGAATTAAGCCTGAATTGTACAAATTTAGTTATTTACTATACCTATGTTTATTTCTTGTACATGCTTCAAACTAATCCAAGTCCTGAATAAATAAACTCCCACATATACTTACAGCTTTATCTAGGGCTGGCGCTTCATACCGCCTGGTGCAATCTCTACGGGTTCAAAATTCTGCTCCAAAGCGCTTTCCTAAGTTTTAAATTTTCACCGTGCCTAAACTTTGGATCCCAGTGCTTTCCTGAAATCATAAAAACTTCTCATCCCTTAATTTTGCCGCTCGGTACTTCCCCAAATTCCAAAAATTTCATCTTCCCTAAATTCTGCCTTCCGATGCCGACATATTCTGCCACCGCTTCTGGGTTTATGGTGAATAACATATCAGTTATTAATAGCACTAAATGTAATCTTTTGGCTTGTGAGTTTCATCAACACAAAATTTTTTTAGCATATTTTTTTTGTTGAATTTTTCCTCATCAACATTTCTTAGAGCATTTAAAAATCTATAATCATCGCCAAGCGTAATGTTAGCATAAAAGGTTGTCATGCTCTTGTTACTCAATTACTAATATAAAAAAGTTTAGACATCACAGCATGAGTTATTACTGAAAGTGTCATGTATTGATAAATATGCGGTGATGAAAGCAAAATATAATAAATAATGACTCCTCAGGTCGGCGTCAGGGATATAAAATAGGTGAATGTTTCGGTTTGAGATGTATGCCAAGTAGATGCTCAGCTACGGAGCCAAACTATTAATCTCACAAATTTATGCTTACATGATTGTTTCTTCAAAACGATGTATTTTATTTAGTGCCTAAGTGAAATTAAGAATTAGAATTTTTATGTGAAAATCTTCACATGTTTTATTATGGAAGGAAAATCAAATGCGCATGCGTAAAGCATTTATTAAAAAAAAAAAAAAAAAGTTTGTAGCTTTGAGGTCCAGATTTGGATCATTCCGGATAACGGACGTTTAGATTTTGGACTTTGTACTGTATCATACAAATTATAAAATAACTTAAGATATAAACTACTTTAGATATATTAAATAATCATCAACAAAATTAAAATTTCTCATAAAAATTAAAGACAATTTCTAAGAATTTGCTATTTATTTTAAAGAGTGTACATGTTTACATAGACACACAAATTTAAAAACAGTATTTTTTTTTTTAAAGTTAAAATAGCAAATTACTAGTAGGGCAAGGGAATGGCACTTTTAGTCCAGCATTATTTTCATAATTTCAAAAGCTTTAGGTTATTTGAATGAACATGAACAGGCAGGCACACACCTGTGTGTGTAGATAAAAAAAAAAAAAAAAAAAAAAAAAAAATGTAAGGTTTAAAAGGCTAGCCTTAATTTGCAATAGTCCTTCAACTCTCCATTTTAATTTGGCTATTTCTCCTTTTTGTTCTAAAAACAGTAGCTGTTTATTGTAACTTTCTCTAAACTGCATCATTTCTATTTTAATCCATGCTATATGATTCTTACGTAATGCTCATAGTGTAGGCTCTTACATTAAAGATTTTAGGCAAAAATAATTTTAAAAACTATAATAACCAATCAAAATAAAGCAAAACAAACTTAACTTATTCTAAACTCAAACTCATATCCCTTTGAACCCAACTCTCATCTTAGACACACCACATTCCTGCTCTTGCTTCCTATCCAATAAACACGTCACCACTTACCATCTCTCTTTCATTATACTGTAATATGATGAAGAGCAGACAAAAATGACATAAGATTGGTATGCACATTGCATCTGTTGTTGTTGTCTTGTCCATGTATTTCAGGACATAATGGTTGCCAGGGCCTCAAGGAGGTTGGATTTCTACTTCCACACCAATTTTGAAGCAGAGCACTCCGGGGGGGGTGAATCCAAGTGTCTTCTAACCCTTTCCTCCCTACCACCAAACCACATGAGAGAACTTTCGGCTCGCCATGTATTTAGCAGACTAACCCCATGGTGCAAAGACACTTACATTTACAAACATCCATGCCTTCTCTGGGATTCTGCCCTTCGGTACTGCAGTAAACTCACATAACCACTATACCATCTGGGCGGTAATGTATCTATTATGTTATGTAATTCACATTAAGACTTTGCTTCTCAAAAATAAAATAAAATGAGCTTAACCAGCCACTACATCTACCATTTGACCGCAACAATGTATTCACACATCTAAATAACTATACCATCAACATCTACATCATAAGTAACACATACACACCCAAGTATGCTAATGATCTGCTGTTTAATTTAAGCAATAAAGCATAGTTGAACAAATATGGGTATTAAATTATTTGCAGCATTTTACTCAAATTTTTCAAAGCATTTCTATAATATATTTAATAAATAGGGCATCCATTAATGCACAGCTAACTTAAAAAGTATGAATAACTTGGAATGATACATGGTAGATGAATGTGTTTTGCTTTACTTTAATAATTCTGGTAATCAAAGAATAAAATTTCAGGAATATCTAGCATCCTGTACATCTAAGCTCAGAAGTTCCTATAAATATTGTAATACTGAATATACTTTCAGGTACTTTTGGACTGTTTGAGAAATCCTTTGGAAGACTTTATTTATACATACAAATCTGTATAAAAGAAAGTAACAGGAATTCAAATCATGTGAATATGGAGATGAACTTTTTGATCAGTGTCGGGATTTTCATAACTTATGCAATGATATTTATACCAAGCTGCTAGGCAAAACAGGTAGAAATAGCATTTGTAACATTGAACAAATCAAAACTGAGTTTTACATTCTAAAACTTTAAAATTAAGTTATAATAAACAAGATGGTATTTTCTAAAAATTAATGATTTGAGATTCATCATAAGAATATGTTTTAATTACCGCCCAGATGGTATAGCGGTTAGTGAAGCCGACTACGATATCGAAGGGCCCAGGTTGGAATCCTAGAGAAAGCATGGTTGTAACTCTCTGTCCCTTCATAGGAGGTAATGATGGCTGCCTATTAGATGCCTCCACAATAAAATGGTCACCACTTCTGGCCTTAGGAGTAGCCAATGCCGAAAAACACAATAAATAGTGCCCACCATATGTATACACTGAAGTGACAAAAGTCATGGGATAGCAATATGCAAATATACAGATGGCAGTAGTATCGCGTAGAAAATGTATAAATGCAAAGTGCTTTGGCAGGGCTTCATTTTTGTTCAAGCATTCATGTAAGAGGCTTTGACGTATTAGGCCGCAACACGAATTAGACTTTTGAGAAGCGGAATGGATTGGGAGCTAGAGGCATAGTGTGGAGGGTAGAATTTAGGCATAACATCCCAAATGGCAGTCAGTGGCCGACACCTCATTAACGACCGAGACCAGCAACGTCTGTGTAAGTTGTCAATTTCACAGACAAGCAACACTGCATCAATACCCAGAAATAAAGTGGGACGTACGAGGGACGTGTCCGATTAAACAGTGCTCAATTGTCTTCGTGGGCTATGCCAGCATAAGAGACTGCCTCGATTGCCTTTACTGACAGCAGGAATCGCCTGCAGCGACTCTCGTGGCTCTGAGCATATGTTTGGTTCTAAATGCATGGAAACTTGGCTTGGTCGCTGAGTCACGATTTCGTGTAAGAACTATGGTAGGGTTGATTGTGGCGAAGACCGACGAAGCCATGGACCAAATTTCAACAAGCCTGTTCAAGCTGTGTGGTTCCATATGGTTGGCTTTTTTACATGGCATGACCCCCCTGGTGCAACTGACCAATCATTGACTGGAAATGGATACCTTGGAGTACTTTGGAGAAGACAGATTCAGGAGTGAGTACTCAACCAACGAGGGAGGAATGGAGACCATGCAAATTTCACCGCCACAATTGTTTTCGATTGGTTGAAGAAATTCTGGAAATTAACAGCGAATGATCTGGCCACCTAGATCGCCCGAATGAATCCCATCGAACATTTATGGGACATATCGGAGGTCAGTTATGCCCAAAACCCTGCACCGTCAACAACTTTCATATTATGACCCATAGAGCACATGGCTCAATATTCCTGCAGGGGACTTCCAATGACTTGTTGATCTATCCACTCGAGTGCGTCTTTGCCCCAAAAGGAGACCGACAAAGTATTGAGGTATCCCATACTTTGTCACTTCGTGTATATATAAAAGGAAGAAGAGTAAGGGGAACGCAAGATATGAGGAAAGCAAGCAAAAGAGGTGTTTCTAAATCAGCATGCCAAGCAATGAAAAGGTGAATATGTGGGGCCCTTCCTACCCGTCTTGACCCGAAATCCGCTCGTCAACTCACTAGGTGGTCTTGATCTACGTGTTGTGTGTGGAGTGAATGTTTACATTAACTGGAAATAATTATTTCACGATGCCTCCAAGAGATGTTGCTTCATATGTGCTTCAAGAAAAATAGGAGCTATATGTTGATTAGAAAGAAATCATAGATAACAAGCAGTGTAAAAGGACGGAATGGCAATACTTCCTTTTACACTACAACGCAACAAGGCATCGATGATTGTACTATTCTGAGAAGCAGAAAGCTTAAAACTGATGTAGCCAAGAGCATCGTCCACTTCGAAACACCATCCAAAAATAGAAGATGTTCAGAAGCTGTTGTTGGTGTGGATTAACAAGAGGCGGTTAAAAGGTTGGTGTCGGAAGCTATCATAAACTACAGTTATATTATTTACCAGTATTATTTATCAGAAAAATTAATTTTTATGTTGATATTTTTGGGGATGTGGAATGGACTAACTGGATTTCCATTATTTTCAATGGGGAAGTTTGTTTCTAGATACAAGAAATTCCCTATACGAGCTCAATGCTGGATCGAATTCAACTCATATCTCGAGATTCCACTGTATGTTTTAATTTAAAACATTTAATCAGCAGATAATGACTTAATTTTTGACATAAACAGAAAAAGGAAACTAGCAATTTTTATTATTTTTTCAGCTGCTGGACGCTGCAATTAAAAGTGCTACCTATCAAGTAGCTCTTGAGCTGATTCATATTCAAGGTTGATTATGGATTAATTTTATTAGAATATTCTAAATCAAATGCCTATTTTTTCATTAGCATTAGTTTGTCTCCCCCTGTAATCTGCCAGCTCATGAGGAAAATATAAAATAATGACCTAAGAAAATAACAAATGTAATGCTGGTAACTGGTTCAAAAGCACAATACCATCAGCAATTGGTGAATCTTGATATAATAGTATGCTCTTCATGGACACATTTTATTAAAAACTGAAAATATAAAAAAAAAAAACTAATTTGGTAAAATAAAAAAAAAAAAAAAAAAAAAAAAAATAAAGTGTTTTTTTTTTTTGTTTTAATGTTAGAAATTTGAATTTTATATTTTAATGTGCTAGCAAAAAAGTTCCTCCTTTCTTTTTTCTACTTTTCTTTTTTAAAGTTACAAGGAAAATTTTTGAAACTTTTAAGTATAAATTGCTTTACAAGTTTGGTAGAAAGCTTTACAGAACTAGAATACCAAGATAACAAGTCCAGCAAAGTACAGTCACGAAAATGTTATTTAAAGATAAATAAATTTTAATCTTATTTAAAGATCTGAAATAAAACAGTTTTAAAGGTTTAAAAGTCAGACATTAAACAGAAGAAAACCTTTAAAGAACATATGTAGCTCTTGATGCAATTGCATATGCTCAAAATAATTTTTCAAAGCATTAATTAGTCCTACATATAAAGTTTTAGAATTTTATTCTAAAACTCTTCTTTTGATGAAATCTCCAACTTTAGCAAAATAGTAACATATATGATCTATATAAACTTTTTATTTTTTGCATAAATACATTACAATTTATATTGCAGTAAAATATTAAGCATACTTTCCCTAAAAACGGAAAGTGTAACTATTAATGATAAAGATGCATGGTTATTTTGTTTTCTAGATTTCTTTTTCAACATTGATAAAAATTTAAAGAAATGCTCAGTGCTAATAAATAAGGTTAAATCATAATGACTGTGCCTGTAGACATACCTTTCTCAGATGAAGGGCAGAATGTTCCATTGGGATAAATTCTACAACAGCCAGTCTGATCATTAGCCCAACTAATGAAATTATCTAGCCAATCCAGAGGGGGATGAGCTATGTATGTTCTGGAAAGTAAATCATAATTGCCTCAATACAAAACTGAAAGATATCCAAATAAAAGTGCTCTTTATATATATATAGATATATTTAACTTATATTTAAAGTATATATATATATACTTTAATTCAAAGCATTTTCTCTCAGTTTAATAAAAGATGTTCCAGATAGGAATTAAAATTTCATGTATTTATAAATAAAATATTTTTTATCACCTCAAACTTAAATGCATGCCAATAAGAATATTGGCCAATGATAATCACATGCCCAGACATTAGATTCATCATTTTTCAACACAGACAGTTATTATTATTTTTCTTTTTTGGCAAGCCTTCAACTTGTTACTGACTTTCTCTGAAGAAACTGAGATGGATTTTACGATTTGACAATTAACTGCCAAGTAATGAAGTCTGCTATTCAAATTAAAAAAAAAAAGGGGGGGATGGGAGTTATACATACTGAAAGATTCAGTTCAATTAACCAAAACATAAAAAATATAAAGCTACATTTTAATTATAACATAGGCACTGCAGCAATGCTCAATGGTAAGTGAAAAGAAGACTGTGAATTTAAAATTAGTTCAACAATAGTATTAATTTTCCAAAACTATCCAGTATCTTCCTTGAATATTCATATATGATCTTATTTAAGAGCACTGATGTGTCTTGAATATATTACTAGGGCTGTATTGTCTAATTTATTCTGATGTGTCTTGAATGTATTATTAGGGCTGTATCAGGCTACTATTTTACGTTAACATTTATATCTGGCAATTACTGCTACCCCATTAACTAAAAAGTACTCAGTCTGATGTGTCTGTTTTAGCAGATATGCTCCCGATGAAGACTACTTATTGAAATTCACATTTTCTTTTGAAATCATAATGAATATTATATTGAACTTTGTCCAATTTAAAGGAAAAAAAATTCATTCCTATAATTTTAGTTTTCAATCAGTACTTTAATTTAAAGGAAAAAAAAAAAAAAAAATTTATTCCTATAATTTTAGTCTTCCATCAGTATTTTAAGAATTTCTGATGAATTTTGCTTTCATCACTCTCAGTCAGTATTTGCTTATTAAAATTGATGCTTGGATTTTTAACTGCAGATCTAAAATAACATAAAGAATATTAATTTTTAATTAACATTTGGAAACCTTATTTTAATTTTGAAATGATGCACTATTGATAATGCCACATTATTATAAGCAGTAAATATTTTTAGGATGGAAAAGGGATATAACCACATTAAAATGGACAGCCAACTGATCATTGAAAATTAAAATTAGAATTTCAATTTACATGTTTTCAAATTATATACAGATTTTTCATTACAGGGCAACACATGCAAATTCATTTTCTATTTAAAAAAATTACACCATGGAACTAGTCATACTATATTACATTCTTATGAAAGCCATTGCTGGCTTATTAGCCACTCTTAAATGTATTATTCTTATCTCTTATAATATCTTCATGTTTTTGTTCCCAAAGTAAATATTGCAATAAAATGTTTTTAACATGCGCTATTCAGTTTTGTTTTTTAAATTAATAAAGAAACATATTCAACATTTTTAGAAAAAAATTTGCATGTTTTTAGAAAAAAATGATGCAGTGTTGATAATGCCACATTATATAAGCAGTAAATATTTTTAGGATGGAAAAGGGATATAACCATATTAAAATGGATAGCCAACTGATCATTGAAAATTAAAATTAGAATTTCAATTTACATGTTTTCAAATTATATCCGTTTTCTATTAAGGGCAACATGCAATTCATTTTCTATTTAAAAAATTACACCATAGACTAGTCAACTTATAATTCTTAGAAAACCATTGCGTCTTTTAGCCACTCTTAAATGCTTTCTTATCTCTTATAATCTCTTTTTGTGTTCCCAAGTAATAGTGCATAAATGTTTTTACAGCGCGCTTCGGTTTTGTTTTTTAATTAATAAAGAACATATTCAACATTTTGAAAAAAAATTACCACCTATATTTTCACAGAAAAACCACCGTACAAAGTAATTAATCAGAAATTCTGTGAGAAATTAGCGTAAATCTGTTCACTAACATTTAATACATAAACAAAACATGGCATTTTCAACACAGTACTGATTATATCACTGAAGCTAAATACCATTCCTCACATTTCTTTAACTGCAAGTATTTAAAAAGGGGGATTGAATCAAAGATTTTACAATTATGATTACTATTTTAATTTACTCATATATCTTTATTAATCATCAATTTAGATTCGGGACTCTCATAGAGACTGCACAGTTTAAATTTCTGGATTTTTAAATTTAAGTAGTCGATGATATGTAGATGCTCTAAAATTAAAAATATGAAATACTGAAACCTTTATGAAATTACAAAAATCAAAATTCGTCCCCCCCCCAAAAAAGCAACTCAATATTTATTTGCTTGCTTTATTAAAAATTTCTTTCAATGCAAATTGTTTAATTGTCTTTGTCTCTTGTGCTAATACTTTCTCTTTGATTTTAAAAATAGACATAATTTCTTGTTCAGTTACAATGTTCATTCCGTAATTGAAAGAATTCCCATAACTATCATCAAACTTTTCGTTCGCAAAAACTCTCGCACTTTCTCATCATACCATAATTTTTTGATTAGAACCACATTACAATTTGCTGTCTGCTTTTGCCTATTGGGAATGCCATTGATTGAAACTTTTTCATCTTTTTAGTTATTACTACTTCTTTCTATACGCCCCATTTCCTTTCACAAATTTCATTAACTTTTTTCTCTTTTCCACACTTTTACTGCAAGGCTATAAAAGTATTTTCAAAACTAGAATGTTAACGACCTGGAATAAAATAAATTCAAAACAATGTAAGTATAAGAAATTAAAATTATAGCTATAAGTTCATCTAGTAAGATAAATCTGAATGTTACATTAAAAAAGTTCAATTTTTAACTAAGCTTTTCAAAACGCGATGACACATTAAACAATATTTAACATTTAGGTTTTGTATTAATACATAAAATTGGTACAAAATATTTTATTAATATGCTAAAAGTTTAGTCAGAACACCTTTTTTTTTTTTTTTTTTTTTTTAAAGCAAGATTTGTTACAATATGTATACTAACAAACATTTGGTTGCATAATACAGCATAACAAAATGAAACAATGTAAAATTGGAAGAACTAAGTTACAGATGTTTATAATACATAAAATTATTAAAAGCAAACTATATAAAACCTGTTTGAAAACTTCGAAGCATCTGAAATTTGAGTCACCATAGAATCACGATAACAGTATGCTACACTGCACAAACTACTTTGGTCTTCCACATCTGAATAATTAAATCCTGATTTAACAACAAAATAAACAGGAGGTCCAACAGACAAATATTCCTCAAGAGAAGAAAAATATTTAAGAACATATGAATCCTGAAATTAAAGAAAAGAAATTAATTTAATACACTATTTTTTATCAGGTTATAAATGTATTTTGCTTAAAATTATTGTATGCAGTGAATAAACAGAACCGTCAAAAATAAAACAATGCATATCTTCCAAAGCTGACTAAGAAACAAATTTCAACTTTTAAACACCTCAGTTAAATAATACACATTAGAAGCACATAGAGCATTATTTTAGCAAAGTTTCAGAATAAAAAATGATGTTTTTCATGCAAAATAAAGTATATATAAAATATTATGTTAAAAGACCAAATTCTATAAAAAATTAACACAATTTCTTTCTCTTTCTTTTGAAGGATGATGCTCAAAAACTTAGTTTTACTATGCTTAATGAATTTATATACACTTTTATATTTTTTTAACTCATTGATTCCATTACATATTTTATTCCTGAAGGAAAAAAAATCTGTAAATATAAAATGTCACAATGAAATACTTCTGCACTTTAAAATAAGCTTTAAATCATACATGATAAAAGATTTAAGAAAAATTCTTTAAGCAGGTAATTACTCAGTTTCTTAGTATATTGCAATATCCTGATTTAAAAGAAATTGAAGTTATGCTGTTTCTTATTTTACACATTTATGCTTGCAATTAATTGTAATTAATTTGAGTAATTCAGAAAATGCTGTTAAAAAACAACACCAAAATACACTCTGCCTGCCTTTAAAAAAATTAAATGCATCAAAACATAATAATTTATCCTAAATCCTCTAAAATTCCATATCCAATAAATTACAATTGGGCTCACAGAAAATACATTTATTCTATGTCCTACAAAGTACAGTCAATGTTTCACTTGTTGGTGCAGAAAAAGCAAAAATAAGAGTTTTATATCTTTATTATTTTTTTCCCATCCCACTTTACAATTATGAAGTGAATTGTCAGAGAAGTTTGTTAAATTTTATGAAACCAGTGGCATCAAAATAATTTTATTATGCAGTACATTTATTTTCATACTATTTTGCTTTGGTATGTTCGGTCACTTTTGTCACTCCCACCTCTTGCATACCTTTGGAGTATTACAGTATTAAATTTATTAAATTTTAATTGTTTTAACTTTGTATTTTAAAGAAATTATTTTCCATGCTTCTCATTTCATTTTCTTTATTTCAAATAATTCTAATAATGCAGTAACTAGAACTCAACCATAGAATGTACTATAGACATTTCAAAACTACATCATACTTTAATTAATTCTTGAAGGTCTGAAATCACATATATTCCAAATAAAAATATTTCTACCTTTGATAAAACAGTGATTAAATTAGATCTTAACATACTGAACTACAAAACTTCTAAATAACCCCACAACTACAACTTAACCATAGAATATATTATAGACATCTCAAAACTATATCATATAATTAATTCTTGAGAGTCTGAAATCATATATATTCTAATTTAAAATATCTCGATCTTTGACATAAGTGCGATTAAATTAAATCTTAACATACTGAACTGCAAAATTACTTTTCTTAAGCATACATTTATTAATTAACAAATACCTTTTCCCTTTCCCATTATAATAGTATTTTTTTTTTTTTTTTTTTATTTCATTTTTTCACATTGGATTTCACATAAATATATATAAAAAGAATATGCTCTAAACTCTTTATTCCCGCATATTCCTATTTCAAACTTCATTATTCAGAATATCTTTGTTAGAATACATTTTATAAGTAAACATGTTTTTTATCACAACTATAAAACATCATAGAACATACACACTTAATTAAAAATTTTGTGACATGTATGAACAATGAAATGTCATAGGACATAAAACATAATTTTAATAATTCTGTAATATATACAACTTACTTTAGGCATTGCTAGCTTTTGATCTAACCCAACATTTATTCCACCAAGTACACTAATTGATAGGCAAACCCAAGCAGAAAATACCAGAAGCTATAAGGTAATATCAGAATATCACATTTTCTGATTATGAATTTAGAAAAATATAAGTAATTTTTCTACAGTTTATAAGCCCATATTAATTACAGTAGTCCCCACAACAGAGTCCCACTGATATTCCACTTTTAATATCCCTGATTTTCCATGATGAATGCAAAACAATTTTCTAATCAAATATAATGAGTTAGTTATCAAATTAAGTCTACGCAAATGAATACGTTTATATGTTTGCTATTTTATATGCATCTAAATCATACTAAAATGTAGGTGGAGTTTTTAAAAATATCAAAATTAATAAATGCTAAAATTATTCTTCAAAAGATAATGAATACTTTCTGATTATCTGCACTCACACTGAAAAGCCACGGAAAAGTATTGATAAGGCAATGCCCCATGTTGCCAGAAAATATTTAAGTAGCAACCCAGGTGTGTACAGGGTTCGTACACATTTCTGCACATGGAAATTAAGCACTTTTAAGGACCATTAACCAAAAACAAATTAAGGACCTATGAGCAAATGGGAACTGAAAAAAATCAATTAAAAATATTATATAAGCCCGAACTTCATTTTTGTAACACTAGCCAAAAATACTAGATCCGATATTATGATTATTATTACCATGAATTAATTAAATATTTTCTAAAAGTTTGATAATAAAATAAACTTTTTGAAATTTATCAAATAGAATTAAATTTTTTACACTTATATTTGTACATATTTGATAGAAGATAATTAACATTTTATTTAAGCTTTATTAACAGTCAGTTTTTTGTTGATTTTTCTTTTATGTCTCATTGTGCCACATACTTGCTCAGTCTAGAGGTTTAGTAAATAGCAGATAGATTTTATGTCAAGCAGCATAGGTTAAAATGAGAAGTAAGATCATAATCAGAATGACTCATAACAAAAGACTGGATGTTGTCACCGCTGCTGCTTGCCTAGAAAGAGACCTGCTGATTAGAACAAATCTGAAAGGCATGATGTAAGCATGGTTAAGAAAGTTTTGAAAGTTAGTTGGGCTCTGTCTGACACAGTTAGTGTCGTAGCTTTGTGTAGAGTTACAGGGGTTGTAAACCAGTTAACATACACTGAGATTCCCATAAGCCACTAAAGCACCAGAGGTGATAAGTTGTTTTGAATTATTTTAAGTCTCATTAGATGCAAAGAATAAGTTTTACGTGAATTTTTACATTTTTGTGCTTTATCATATGACCACGGTAAGAATTCATGAAAGGCAATAAGTTGCTTTAATACACAGAGATAATTTTTAAGGGTAAGAAGTTAGTTATAAATAATTAAATTAGTTACTTAGATAACCTTAGTCATTATGGATTTACATGGCCACTATTAAATTTTATTTTTTAAAATATTTTTAAAAAAAGCCTATCAAAATCAATCTCTAAATTTCAGAGTTTAAAAGCATGTATTTATACATTGATTCTTAAACGTTATTAAGATAATTACACACAAAAATCCACAATATATTTGAGTTTTGTAGCAACAACACTCAACAAAATATTTATGCATCTTTTTAATTTGAAGCCTTGCTAGATATTTTGGCTAATTTATATTTATATCCTTCTCTTTAAACATCTTTTATAACAATTAGAAATTTGTCTCAATACACATACCAATGTTCTCACTAGTTCCTATGTGCTTTATCTCCTAACTTATCAACCTCTCCACAATGTAGCTATGAAGGTTTACTTGATATGATAAAAGTTAAATAGTTTATTATAGTTTATTTAAAGTTAATAGTTAAAAGCAAAAAGTTGTTTAAGAGCTCTTCGTTAGAAAAAATGAAATAATTTTGAAATGCTTATGTTTCGCTTCTTGATTAGAAACTAAAGTCTCCTATCATTTATATTAGAAATAGGAACAAATTATAACCCATGAAACCATTCCTCCATTGAAGAGATAACTATATATATCAGTGGATTGCAAAAATATTCCTCCAAAATGCTAATTCACACTCAAAATGGTAGTCGTAAAAACAGACAGAAATTTCAGATGATTAAATTTAAGGACCTTCTGCCGATTTTGGCTGAAATTAAGGACTTTAAATGACCAAAAATTGATAAAAAAGAAAAAAGAAAAAAAAAAAAAAAAAAAACAAGGACTTCTAAGGACTCTTAAGGACCGTACGAAACCAGTATGCATGTAGCCAAGGACTTCTAAGGACTCTTAAGGACCGTGCGAAACCAGTATGCATGTAGCACACACAAATTTGCAATTTTGAAATTCGATGCCCATTTTTCTGATCAATATTTCTTTTGTTTTTCATTTGTTTTTATTGTAATGAACTGCAATCAAACTGGAGAATTTGCCTTCTTTTATTTCATTATACCAGAGTGTAAAGTTTAAATTTTCTTAGGCGATCATGATTGTAACTGCTATGCAATGCTGAAGTTATGCATGCTGCTAAGTTTGCATAATTCTTTGATTTCTTTTTAGAAAAGGTAAGTGACAGGAATGCGGGCACCACTCCTCTATCATTGTGGTTAATTAGTGTAGCGCCACGTCCACCTTTTCCTAGAGCAACCACCATGCTGGTAACTGTTGGGGCTACGGGAGGAAAAGGGGACCCCGACCCGAGCACTCAATTCATGCCGCATTTTCCTCGGAGAGTTTACTGACACATATGGAGTTGGCTACATGTTCATAAAAGGGATTTGAAGTTTCATTTTGAACAGCTGCAGTGAAGATTTACATACATTTACAGTAATATACACATTACCGTCTTACAATTACTGCAAGTTGAAAAAAACTATACAGTATCTTACAATTAAAACCTTAAGTCATTATGTAGATGGCAGCAGTAACAACAAACATGCAAGCACACACACAAACACACACACAAAAAGAGAATTTCATGAAGGAGGCTAAGTATTTAAAAATTTGCTTTAATGAATGTAAAAATGTAGGTGTCAGTGGATACATCATTGAAATAGATGTAAAGATGCACAAACAAAGTCAAGGAGTCTGCAACTTTTCAGTGAAGATGCAGATAATCAGAAAGTAGCAAACACTTTTAACAGCACATCATTCATAACAAATATTACTCATTTGGTGCCTTAAAATCAAATTGATGAACTTAACTGTATTAGACTAAACAAAAGGGTTTTGTTGATTATAAATTTGTGAAGAAAAGTTGATCAGTTTATTATCATTAGTAATGATACAGTGTAATAACTTCTTAAGTATGCTATTTAAGAAACTTCTTAAGTATGCTACTTGAAGAGCAATTGTACTACTAAAGAGAGAAGTAACAAAACATCTATACTTTTATATTAAAAAATAAAGAACAGCTTACTAATAGTCTGAGAAGAAAATTACAGGTTAATAAAAACCTGTGTTAGATACAAGGTGAATAAAATTCTTTCTGCACCAAAACAGAGATTATAATAGCTTTTCCTTTGCCTGTCTTTTAAGAGATTTATTATGTAATATTCAAAACATGAGTTTATTATTTGAGAAAAATGACTAACAATTTCACAGGTATTTTTCAAAATATATTTTTCCTGACTTTTTCTTAACAACTGTCATTGCTCTGACTTTCCGTAAATTATGAAATGTGCGAGAACCTTACAAGGAATTCACTTTCAACCAACATATTGGTCTTATTATTTCAATTTAATTAGTTTTATAATATTATACCCCATGCATCTATACACTGGTGTTCAAAATTAAAAGAATTTGCATATTTTGGAAATTTCCTCAAAAAGTTCTAAATGAAAAGCCTGAATTATGCTTTTAAACAAAAATTGCAAAGTTTCAGAACAGAAAACATAAGCAATTCAATTTCATTAGTTTTATAATATTATGCCACATGCATCTCTACACTGGTGTTCAAAATTACAAAAATTTGCATATTTTGGCAATTTTCTCGAAAAGTTCTAAATGAAAAGCATGAATTATGCTTTTAAACAAAAAGTGCAAAATTTTAGAACAGAAAACATAAGCAACACATGCCACGTGGGAGAGTATTTAGGAAAAGGGTCATTAAGAACACAAGTGGCATTTTCTGCACTTTGTTTGCTCACATTTCTTGTTGACTTTTGTTGTGTTTATGTATAACATTTGGTAAACTTCAAAAGCAGAAAGTTAAAATGATTAATCATCAATGCTTGGATGATGGAATGAGATGGAAAGACACTGTAGAAGACAAGCCTCAAGTGCAGATTACTAGAGATCTGAAAGTAATACCCAACATTTGATGCAACTTAAGGAAACAGTTTAAGAATGTTAGATATGTATAGGGAAAGCTTAACCAACAATCATGATGGCCACTGGAGATCAATATTCATCCATTTCAGCAAGGCATTACAAGAGTACAAAGAGCTTTTCTGCTCTTTCATAACCTACATACAACCACAGGAAGTCAAGTTTCAAAAGTTACTCTTTCCAACAGACTACATGACGGGAATCTTTTTGCAAAAAGACCTGCTGCTTGTGTCCCATTCTGTGCAAAAAGGGTATTTAGGATAGTGCAGAGAACAACAACTTTGGACCAAGCATCAGTGAGAGACTGTCCTCATCAGAGATGAGTTCTAATTCACTCAAATCATTGACTGTAGAAGTACCTTTATTTAGAGAGAATGAAGGAACCTGCTATTTGTTTTCCAATATTCGAGAAAGGGACATATATGGTAGAAGACTGATAGTCTGTACAGGCATCATGTCAGACAGGCACACAGACTTCATGTTTTTAACAGAGGCTCTATATGACTGCTGTGAGGTGCAGGGAAGAAATCTTAGATTTCTAAATTTTCTTCTTAAAAGATGCAGTTGGCCATCAATTCATTTTTAAACGACAACATTCATCCATAAAGAATTAACCCAGTGGATGACTTTCTGGAAAGTGAGGATAATAAATGGACGAATTTAGCCAGACCTCAAGCTAAGATCTATAGAAGAGGTCTTGGATGCTTTTGGTAAGCCATTTGCACTCACCTTCCTCATTCCCAAAACCTCTAGGACTTAAAAACACTGTTACTGAATAAGCGAGACTGGTTGCCATAGGGATCCGCAAATAGGTTTATTTCTAACATGAAGTCATACTGGGACAGTAATGTGACTTCTAAATGGGTACATACCACCTATTAGCTATCTTTTTTTGGGGGGGGGTCTGATCTTGCAACATCTGTTTTAGACTTTTGTTTGCAAATGATGAGCCTTATGCATGACAACATGGATGTACCATGATTATTGTAAGGTACATCTTTTCCCTATTACATCAGTCTATGTTCATATCGAATTTCATTAAATTCCGTAGGGAGTTTGAGAGATTTTGAACCAAAATATAGAAATTTGCTTAATTTTGAACAGTATATTTGATTCTTTAGCTTATGATTGTGTGTTATGATGATCATATTAAAAAAATTAATTTGTTTAATTTTATGCAATAGTTTTTCAAGAAATTCACATTTCTGCACATGAAAAGATAATTTTGGACATCATTCTAAGTGCCTAAACATTTCTTGGTTTTCAATATGAGTGAATCAAGTATCATAATTTGAAATCCTCTCTTAAGTATAATTTAAAAAGTAAAAAGAAAGGCTGGATTTTAATCCAAATTTAAGAGCTGAAATCTTCTCAGAAATTTTTGGATAAGTTTGAATATTAATATTTTAAATCTCAAGAATACTTACTAGAAGAGAAAAAGATAACTCACCACAAGACACCTAACAGTATCCTTCATTAGAAAAGGTGCATAGTATTCATCAAAAAGTTTGTGCAAACAGCCTTTTCTTTCTGGTACAGTTTCTGGATGATCAATCTTAATACAACAGCATATATCTACACGATTTGTCTAACAAGGAAGGAAAAAAAAAAAAAAATCATACAAAAATTACTGTCTAACAACTTACATTACATTTCATAGCACATAGTATAGATACATAAAAGGACAAAATATCTGATGTGGACTACTTTGTACAGCCTAACAATTATACACACTTTTTGCTGCATTTCATTTTAACTCATTTCCTTGAATTTCATTAGATACATTTCTCCTTCAATAAATTCAGTTCTCACTTCACAGCAAGGCAAAAATACATAAAACATAACATCTTCAATTAAATATTGTAAAATATAAAAAACATATGTAAGATTTTTTGGGGCAAATAACCTTACAGATAAGGATGTAGCACCTTTGCTGCATTCTGTAATTCAGAAATAAACTCAACATAAAACACCAAATACAGTTAAAACAATTTTAAAAAATCTTTTACAATTAAAATTATAGTTTCTACGCAAAAACAAACAATTCGACCAGTGGGCAAGATAGCAGATTTTTTGTTGCACAAAACTGAAAGTGTACTTTTGGTCCCACTCAGTGAGAAGACATTGAAGGTGCAGAAACATACTTAATTCACTATATTACATATTACTAATTCAAAAGCTAGATGCTTTGTTAAATGTCACTATCTCTGAGTGAGAAAATAAAGAATTTTTTGAAAGGAAGACATGCAACCATCTTTGAAGAAAATTACTATTTTACACTGATTTTTAAGAAAATAATAAAAGTGTTAAATTATACTATCAAAATAATACTTTGTTGTTTGCCACCGTGTTTTCAGATGATATTAATCTATCACTATAATAAACTTCTAGAACTAAATTTTTAAAATGTAGCAAGACATGTTAGATAATTTACAAATCAATAAGAAATAACTAATTTACAAATCAATAAATCTTATTGATTATATTATAATAATAAAAATCATGAATATATATTTATTTATTTACTAAAGATACTTTTATTTGTGTTAGACTTTTAAACATGGAACGGTACACAATGCAGCACTTTGCACTCTGAAATCTTGTTCTCCACTTGGAATCACCATCTAAATTTTTAAAACAAATATCTGTATCTGCATCCGAATCAGTTTCATTATCTGATTTCCATCTTCAGAATCAGATTCCTCATTTAAAAAAAAAAAAGTGCTTCAACTTTTTATGCTATATAATTCCATTTTTAGCTATAACATATATTCAAAATGTTGCGATAAAAATTTCTGGGAGGGGGGAACCCGCCGAATTCACCCTCATTGTGCAGGAAATTATCTAGTATTCTTCCTGCTATCTATATATACAAAGTTAAATCAACTAATTTACAATTTCAACTTGTTTGTATAGCTAAAATACTAGAAGATTATTTCAAAGAAAGATTCTACTTTGCCTGCATACACTGAAGCTAAAATTTAATTTGCAAGCAGGACTCGTTTGTTACCATTTAGGTAGAAATTTGCAGTGCAAGCTATGTTTGTTTGTGTATAATAACTGAAATGTGAGCTGAGCTCATTGATGACAATCAAAAGGTTAATACCAATTAAAAATTCAGTAATGCCTACCATTATTGTGCATTTTGATGCATAATTATGGTAAAATTTCATAACAATATCTCATCATCACAAAAAATAAAAATTAATTACAAATGCGAACATAAAATAAAAACAATATTTTTTATTAATATTTTCATGTGGTTCTTAAAATATTTCTGAGTAGGCATTTTCTAGAAAGAAATCAAGTTTATATTTATTTACAAGAAATCATAAAGTTAAACTATATGAAGCATTTCAGAAGAAAAATACGATTAATACAAAACCTTTAAATATGTACTCACTTCTTCTCTAGCAGCATCAAGTGACATCACTGCAACAAAACAGGATATCTGTAACAGGAAATCAATAACCAAAGCTAATCCTGAATAGAATGCAAAGACGTGCACAGCTGGCATGTGTGATAATGCACCTATAATTATATTCTATGTATAAGTACTTATTTATACCCATTACTTTAAAAAAAATACACATACAAATAATTTTGACTAGAAATACATGGAATTTAAATATTTTATAAATCATGAATGCTCAATTAAGAAACCATTAATGATGATGATAAAAAATAACACTGTAGATCTCTAAAACTTAAAAACAGTGCAACAAAGCATATAAAAATAATAATATCTCCTTGAAATAGTATGCTAACACAAAACTGAGAACAGCTACTGAGTATTAGGATAGGATTTCCTAAACTTTTTTCCCATGGCCCAGTTGAAATACACTCTATAACATAAAAAATTTGATGTGTACAACACATGACTTCCTAGTACAGAATATTAAATTACACACATTTTTCCAGCATTTCATTCAAACTTATTTCCTCAAATTTCACTAGAGATATACTTCTAATTCAATTAATACAGTTCTCACTTTGCGAAAAGGCAAAAATACATAAAAACTTAAAATATCTATATTAAAAATTGAAAGATACAGAAAAACATGGACCACCAAATACAGTTAAAACAATTAAAAAACAATTTTTACAATTAAAATTACAGTTTCTAAGGAAAAACAAGCAAGTCGGCCAGCGGGCATGAAGGCAGATTTTTTGGTGTACAAAACTGAAAGTTTACTTTTAGTACTGAACTGAAAGTTACTTACTCAGCAAAAAAAAAACACTGAAAGCATAGAAACTGTCTTAATTTATTGTAGATGCTATGCTGAGTCAATATATGGGATAATTTAATAATTTAAATGATAATTCCAGAATGAATTAAGCATAATTTAGTTCGCAACAATGAAAGATGATGTTACTTTGTTGTTAAGAAGCTTAGTTTTTCTAGACTGGCAACAAATCCACTATTCTGCTAAGTTTCAAATGTAAACAAATAATGGCTGCTACGGTAAAAAAAATTAGGCTGAGCCACACTTAAACAACTTTTAAATTGTCCATAATTCTACAACTATATAACATGCAGGTTAACTAAAGACATAAAAACCTTAACTGGAAGATAAGAACAACACATTTCAATCATTTTTAAACAAAGAATGCACTTACATATAAAAATAAACAAAAACTGAGCTCACGGAGCCGAGTAACAAAGTGAGTATATATGATTATACATATATTTATATACTTCTGGTGCAGTCAATTGCCACCAAAAAAGGAGGTGCATAACTACATGCTATAACAGTCATATATACAAAATTTCAATGTTCTGAAGCTACTTGTTTTTGAGTTATGCCAGATGTGTACAAACATGACGAAAAAATCTCTTCTGAATCCATTTTAAATCAGTTTTGTAATTCTTTTAGGGGAAAAAGAGTCCTTTATTCTTTCCTTGCATACAGATGTCACGCAAAAACATCATTAAATTGCATTCAATAGTGGTCAAAATGGATATTTTTGCTGAAATATGGTACTCAGAATATTTTGTGATTACAATACTTCTTTTACATTGTACAAGGAAGTAAAATGAACACACCAAAAATGAGTTATCAGAGCAGGATGAAACTGGGTACACCCTTACCTCATGACAGAATATGCAAGTGATTAAATTTTGCTGGACAATGACTGATTAGCTAGAGTTCCAGTGCATTACAATGGAGCACCTGGATAGTGTATAAATCAGAGGATATTCTACAGCTAAGGCATTACTTCCATGCGAAAGTGGTTACACTGACCAATGTGGACCGCACCCAATGCCTTGCTGATGAATTCATGAACAGTATAAGCATATATCACCATTTGAGAGAAGACACACAATTGGACTAAAGGAAGCAAGATTGTCAAATTACAGGATCACTAAACATTTGGGTCTGAGCGATATTACCATCCGACGATTTTGGGAGGAATGGGTGAACAATGGCTGTACAAAGCATCTTCTTATCTATGACTAGAAGTGTAACACAACACTAGTGACTGCAAAGAACATTCAAAAGTGATTCAGAGAGCAGGAACTGAGGTCAAAGAAGTTATTGTGCCAAATGTTTTTCATCACTGCACATTTCCACACACGTTTGCAGAGGTGCTGTGTGCATTTAACCTAGGTTATCACGGACTACAGTGGAAGTGTTTTCAACCATGAGGTTTCACTTCAGATTTAGCATCAATGATCAGCAAAAAATGCACAATTTAAGATATAAGGTATTTTCTCCCTGCTTTCCACATGCCTTTGTGGTATATCTGAAGCACACTTGACATGTTTCTGGGAGGTCCATAGTTCGAATACCAGGAAGAAAGACAGTCTGAATATCTCATTTTTCATGCTCTAACAATGTTATAACCAAATGACTGACTAAACGTGTCTGAAGACATCCAGGACAGTGCTGGGATACTCAATTGTCTGTCCAGGAGTTATGGTTTGGAGTCCTACTTCATTTCAAAGCCCTTTGGTTGTCACCCGTGACACCGTAGTGTGCCCTTCCTTTTACATGGATAAAGAGGAAAAAAAGATCTTTTTAAGAACTTTTGAAAATTGTTAGAATTTTTAAACTTTTTAACATCTATTATTTTAAAATTTTACATCTGAAAATGTATTGATTACAAAGTTTTGAAATTTTCACAGATTATACGACAAATTCTTCAAGCGCAAGACATTAATTAGGCAATTTTTCACATTTAAAAAAAATATGCAATGAAGAAGAAAGGAAAGTATCTGTTCTTCTATGGCATCATTCGGAAATATTAGTTTTTACATTATAATCTCTTTAGATCACACTTCTTTTTCATGGTTCAGTACAGATTTCTCTAAAATTAATTTTATTTACTTATTTATTAAACTCAAACGATTATTAATTAAGCTTTAAGCTTGCTATAAAAATATTCTTTCATTTTATAAATGTTTTTTCCCCTCTTTTTATATGTAGATTTTACATTTTACAATTTATTTCATTTTACAGTACAAAGTCTGAAATCTGGACTGGTAGGGACTTCAGTGATTTGAGATTCGGGATATTTCCAAATAATAGATCATCAATTTAAATATGGTAAGATGGCATGCAGAAATTATACAACTAAAAATAAGAAATCCTAATTTATGAAATAAGAACAACTATGATGTAAAAGGTATCAAAATTTACAAAAAAAAAGCTTAATATTTATTTTACTTTATTAAACATTTCTTTCAATGTACGTAGTTTAAGATGCTTCAACAAAAAATTTAAAAAGTTCCTTTTTTTCTTTTTTCTTGTGTCATATACAGTGGACATTCCAATGCCATACTAATCGCATAATTTTGAGAAGGATATACCTTTATCTATTTATTGCCATTATCATTTTTTCATTAATGATATGCCATTATCATTTTTTACAGCATTCCACTTTTTGTTTAATGGACATTGAAACATGGTTTCACTTTATAGATCCTTTGCCAACTCCAGAAATGGAAACTCTTTTCGACATAATCGGAAGTTAAAGCTTAGTTTTTATAAAATTGCCGTAATAATAACAGCCTGCAAAAAATAATAAGCTGGATCAAATTAGATCAGGGAGCAGCACAGTTTGCTACATTAATTGAAATGCCTTAGAATCAGTAAAGGTAATTTTAGACTAGTTTAATAGTGTCTATTATACATTATTGGCTGTCAAGATTGGCGACGAAAGCCAAGTTGTTTCGCTAAATTTTGTTTTGCTCCTATTGTGCACTGAATTAAGTCTGAATTGTATTAGTTTAGTTATTTATTATACCTACGTTTATTACTTGCACATTCTTCAAAGTAACCCGAGTCCTGAATAAATAAACTCCCTATATATTTAAGGCTTTATCTAGGGCTGGCACTCGATACCGCCTGGTGCAGTCTCTACGGGTCCTAAATTCTGCTAAAAGCTCTTTCCTAAGTTCTAAATTTTCACCGTGCCTAAATTTTGGATCCCAGTGCTTTCCCTAAACCATAAAAACTTCTCATCCCTTAACATTGCCGCTCTTTACTTCTCCAAATTCCAAAAATTTTGTCTTCCCTAAATTCTGCCGACCGATGCCAACATATTCTGCCACCGCTTCTGGGTTTATGGTGAATAACATATCAGTTATTCTTAATTAAAATAGCACTAAATGTAATCTTTTGGCCTATGAGTTTCATTAACAAAAGCTATTTTTAGCATATGAAAAGAAATTTTTGTTGAATTTTTCCTCGTCAACATTTCTTAGAGCATTTAAAAATCTATAATCATCTGCAAGCGTAATGTTAGCATAAAAGTTTGCCATACTCTTGTTATTCAATTACTATAATAAAAAAAGTTTAGACATCGCAGCATGAGTTATTACTGAAGCTCCATTGATAAACATGTGATGATGAAAGCAAAATGATGTGATGATGAAAGCATAATGGCTCGCCAGGTCGGCGTCAGGGATATAAAATAGGTGAATGCTTCAATTTGATACATACGCCAAGTAGATACTCAGCTACAGAACCAAATTATTAATCTCACAAATTTATGCTTACATGATGGTTTTTCCAAAATGAGGTATTTTATTTAGTGCTTAAGTGAAATTAAGAATCGAAATTTTTAAGTGAAAATTCTCCACATGTTTTATTATGGAAGGAAAATCAAATGCGCATGCGTAAAGCATTAATTTAAAAAAAAATGTTTGTGGCTTTGAGGTCCGGGTTTTAAATCATTTCGGATAATGGACGTCCGGATTTCGGACTTTGTACTGCATTAATCATCCCCTCCCCAAAATAAAATATTACTGTTTAAAATTATTTGCAATGAAGCTTATCACATCATTTTTAATTGCTTCCATAACTTTTATACATTTTCCTCAGCATTTCATTTCAAAGATTGATTTCCTAAATTTTTAGTGTGGAATGTAATATTTCATTTTTTTATTCTAACATCCAAAAATGTATCCATTATAAAGATTTAAAATTTTGTCAAAACAGGACTAATTAAAAAAAAAAAAAAAAAAAAAAAAAAAAAAAAAAAAAAAAAAAATCAGGCAGATTTCTACAGTTACTAGCAGAATT